TACGTATCCCTCCCGCGGCCCTGGCACTCGCCCTCCTTTTTTGAGCGAGGGGCCACCGGGGCCAAGCGTGCGAAGCCAGTCCGAGTCCGCCGCCGAGCACGCGCGTCGAGCGGAGCGAGCCTCGAACTCGAATCGTCCTCCTCCTCCTCCTCCTCCTCCTCCCTCCTCCTCCTCCCCCCTCTCCTCTCCTCCCCTCCTCCTCCTCCTCCTCCTCCTCCTCTCTCCTCCTCCTCCTCCTCCTCCTCCTCCTCCTCCTCCTCCTGGAGCCGTCTTCCTCCTCCTCCACAAAATCGGCGGCGACCGCCGAAGCACTTCCGCGGCGCGGGGGAGAGGGGCCGCGGTGGGGAGGGGCCTTCACTGCTACCACTGGCGCGGCCACCGTGGCGGCAATGGCGGCGTCGTCCTGGTCCTCCGGCTCCTGCTTGACCTCCGCGCAGACGGCAATGATGACGGCGACGGCGGCGACGACGACGCCCGCGTCGGCCAACTAAGACCCCTCCCGAGCTGCCTAAACGAGTGGCCGCCGCAAGCCTCTGCATTTGAATGCTGCAGGGCCCCCAGAACCCGTGACTCTCGGCGGAGGCTGTCCCTCCAAGGCCGACTGTCCGAGTGCGCCCTCGCCCCGCCGCGCAAGCGGGGGGCGCACGTTTCCACGCGCAGGTGACGATCCGAGTCCTGGAGATGGACGGGTTGGGGGTCCCATGCTTTGAGCAGGGACAGACCGTCCTGGCATTCCTATCGGCCTACCACGAAATGTTCTTAGAACCTACAAATGTTCGAAGAACAAAACGATGTTCTTAGATAATCTTCCCGATGTGCTAAAACAAGACAGCTCCAGCCATACACATGTTAAGAACACTTTGTGCAGACCACAGCATGTTCTTAGAACATTATTTGGTAGGCCTATAGGCGAGACAGGACGCTTCGCCACTGCTTGGATACTGGTGCGGTATCAGCCCGCGCGGTGACCTCGAAATCCCACAGAGACCGCACCGCACGGTCCGTCACTGCATCGTGCTGGGACCTCAGCGGCCCCAGTCGCCCTAGGCATCCTAGGAGAACGACCCAAACCTCAAAACCCTGCGGTCACCCGCACCCCCGCTGACTGACCACGCTGAGTAGCCACCGCACCCGTTGGGCGCCCTCGAAGGCGGGAAAAAATGCCGAACTCCTTTTGGACGCCCGGAATGGGCGCGGACCAACTGAGTACGATGCTCAACAGCTAATGCTATCCAAAACCGACAGCGGCCGCTGTTGGGAAGACGGCCTTTGCTCTCAGATGGACAGCGGTCGCAGCGACGCCGACAGAGAAATGTGTTCAACATGACCCAACATTGCTGGAGTTTGTGCAAACTGCTTTCGCACCCATTTCAACCGTCCCGATCCTTTTCCAGGTTGCCCCTAGCCTCTACATTCAACGCGTAAGAAAATTGCAAGATAAGGGTGAAAGGGCCCTGGACGGCCCTGCCGGCACCGTTCGAGCGGGGCTGCTGGCTGCAGCCCTCATGGGGCCTTCACCGCCGCGGCCGTGTCGAGGATCGTCATTTTTTCGTCGGGGCCCGACGACGACGACGAACACGCACTCTGGGGACCCCCGCGCTGCCGGCCGCAATGAGCCCGCAGGGGGCCTGCACCGCCGCGGCCCCGGTCGCGGCCGACATCGGCGGCGCGGCCGCGGCGGGGGGCGGCACGCCCTCGTCGGGGGCCTCGCGCTTGACCACGGGCTCGGCCTCCAGAACCGGGTGGGGAGCCCTCCTCCTCCTCCTCCTCCTCCTCCTCCTCCTTCTCCTCCTGAAGGCACCTCCTCCTCCTGCTCCTCCTCTACCCTCCCTGCGTCCCTCCTCCTGCTCCTCCTCATCCTCCCTCCCTTCCCTCCCTCCCTCCCTCCCTCCCTCCCTCCCTCATTCCCTCCCTTCCTCCCTCCCTTCCTCCCTCACTGTCTCCTCCTCCTCATCCCTCTTGCTCTCTCCTCTTCGCTCCGAAAGTACGGCGGGATTGGCACTTCGCCCGAAACTTCCTCGCCATGTATGCTCCCGACGTTCGTCTGGTGTCCTCGCGCCCGTGCGTCAGACCGCAGGAGCGGCATAAAACGCGACTCTCAAACTGGCGCCAGCGTTGCCACAACAACGACGCACATCGCAGGAGGCAATGCGCATCGCGGTTGGGGTACAACGTTGGGGCTATGGCAACGCGCTGGAACTCGCCAAACGAACGCGCGCGCATGCTCACGCGCGCTGCCCCGGGCAGCCAAAAATGCGGTTCTGGAATGGTGCACCCGCGCGCCCACATGGGGTCGCGCGAGGTAGACGCTGCGGCAGGCCCTGTGAAGAGGCCCCCAGGAGGTCCCCAATGGGCCTCCGTCGGGGGGGGGCCCTCCCTGCGCATCGAAAAAATTCACCCACGGGCCACCGTCGGATGCCCCGTCGGGGTTCACAGTCGGTGGCCTCGTGGAGCCAAACCGCAGCCCCCAACGGTGCCCCAAAACAGAAACCCCCCACGGTGCCCCCCAACGCCAGCGACCCAGCGCGGCGGCACCCCTCCGCGGATCATCGGAGTCGGGGCGACGGGCGGTGTGCGCCAGCATCCGCACAGCGCGTCCGAAGCCACCCGCTCGTGTTCTGGGGACCCTGTGCGGAATCCACGGGGGTACCGTACATGCCCGAATTCCGATATATGTATATATATATATGTGTGTACATATATACGTACATATATATATATATATATATATGTATATGTCTGTGTATATATACATACATATATATATATACACACCGTTTTAGCGCACGTGTCCACGCCAATGGTCTAGTAGCTCAGCTTCCCCCGCACACTGCGGTTCGCCGCGAACCGCCCGACGCCCCCGTCCCCCGCAGCTGCGCCAAGCCAAAAGCAAGACCCCCGCAGCCAGAGGAACCAAGCGTGGCAGTCCACGCTGGTTTGACTCTGGGCTCCACGGGCCAGCTCCACGACCGGGGGGGAGGGCGTTTCAGGACCCAGGTCCCACTGAACCCCAATCGGCGGCACTTTAAAACTGAAAAACAAACACTCTATACCAACTCCACCCCCATCGTGGCTTGCTAGCCGTGAAAAAGCGGTTCAACTCCCCACCCCTCCACCACATTTGCAATACATTAGTCCGCTTTCGAATTGGAACTAAGAGACCATTGCCAGAGCGAAACTCGTGAGTATATGCAGTAAAAAAATACAACTCAGAGAACGCTCGCGACATACGCAATCCATCTGAAAGAGCGGCGGCGGCCTGGCCCGTGGGCCGCACGCGCACGAGGTCTGCCACCGCACCCTCGACGTAGATGCGGCCGTCATGCTGCTGGCCCACCTGCCCTTGACAAGCGTGGCCCCCATGGAGGCCGACCGCGGGCAAAAATCTGAGGCGCCTCCTCGTCGGGCAGAGCGTCATGAGAAGCGCCCAGGAAGGCACAGGCCTTGCGTGAGGGCCCCGTGCGCACCTCTGAGCTGGGCGGGCGACCTCCACGTCAGGGCTTCGCCTGCGGGTCGCTGCTGCGCGACTAGCCCGAGCATTGCCTAAGCAATTGCTGAACGGACGACGACGGTCTCTGCAGCGTCCTTGCCCGCTGTCGTCTCAGACGTCCTGATCCGCAGCACGACTGGGTCACCTCGGTCGAGAACGTCGTCCGTCGTCGACGCAAAGGCCCCGCCGCCCCACAGCAGGCCTTCGAAGCTGATGGGCAACAGGCAGCTCACGTCGAACGCACTGGCCTCCGCCGCCAGGCCTGCCATGCCCGCGACGATGTCGGGCGTGAACGGCAGCGCCCGCTCTGCAGGCCCCGCTCGACGCCAGGCCTTCAGCAGCGCCCGCGACAGGTCCAGCCTTCGCCGCAGCTTGGGCAGCAAGAGCACACGCCCGCGACGGTGTTGCTTGCCAGCGCGATGCCTGCTCCGTTCTGCCAGATCGCCTCCAAATAGCTGGCGACGAGACTGTCCGCATCCTCTGCATCGTCGCCCAGGATACGCATCTCCTGAGGGCTCACCCCGTAGTGCCTCAGCAGGTCCTGCACTGCGCGAGTGTACCTCGCTCGAGTCGCAAACCCTATTCGTAGCGAGGCGAGGGTCTTCTGGGGCTTCCCGCGCCGCTTCAGCAAAGCACCCGCGGCCCGCGCGGGATCGCGGCGGGCCGCTCCTCGCCGCGCAACCTGAGCCGCGAGCCACGCCACAGCATGAGCGACGGCTCGTCTGCCGGGCTGTCCTCCGAGACCACGTGGCCGATCAACGGGCACATGTCCACCGCGATCGCCATGGCCATCCAGCGCCTCAGCGCTGGCTGCAAGCGGCGGCTGCTGCTGCGACCCTTTGGTCACGATGGCCGCCACGACCTGACTGTCGACGAGGTGGAGCCACCGCGCGCAGCGTCGGGCTGACTTCCGCGCTCGCCATCGCATGGCTGCCGGCGCCGCCTGCAGCTCTCTCACGTCGATGTGCGCGTGCGTCTCGCGCGGCCACGCCATGCTCAGCACGGCGCGCCACCGCCGCGCGAGGGGGCTCAGGCTCGAGCGAGGCCAGCTTCTTGGACGGCGCGGCAGGCCGCAGTCCAGCCGCGCGTCCGAGCCACCCTTCTCCACGCGGCTCAGGTAGTGACGTAATGGAGGACGAGACGCCTGGCCTCCTCGGTGTTCGGGTCGCCCGCGCTGTCCTCGAAGCAGCCGCACTGGCCCTAGATCTCGCGGCACTGGCCGATGCGCGCCATCTCGGGCACGGACAGGGGGCGCACCAAAGCGGACTCCGCCAGGAGGGCGTGCTGCAAAGCCCATGCGACCACATAGACGCTGAAGCTGCTCCCAAGCAGGAAGGCCCCGGCGTCTGAGGCGGCCTGCGGGTTAGAGCCCTTCGTGGCTACCGCGGTGTAACCCTCATCGAACCCGAGCAATTTTTCTCTCTCCGTGCAGCTTGGCAGCTTCCCTGTCAACTTCCCAGAACCATCCTGGACGATAGTTTTCTCCTCGTGCAGCGCAACGCGATAGCGGAACGAGTCAGCCTGCCAGCGCGCTCGCGCGTCACTGGATGCCGAGGCCAGGCCGCGCGGCGCCGACGGGGGGCCCGGGGGCGGCCTGCAGCACACCAGCGTCGGGCAGGGGAGCGGGCGCCCTGCCCAGCGAAACCCCTGGTCCTCCCACTCGGTGTCTAGCAGCGGCCCGTTGTCTGTCATGACCTCGATGTAGCGGCCCCTGTCGACAAGGCGCAGCGGCGGCGTCACTTGGAGCTGCCGACTGAGCCGGAAGAGCCGCGGCCTGCGACGCGGTACCATGACCGACGAGCAGATGCAGTACGGCTTAACTCCCATGCAGCTGGACATGGCCTTGACATTATCGTTGGTCATGATCGCCGCGTGCTCGAGCAGCGAGTAGAGCCGCCGCCCGAACGCCTGCTGCAGGAGCGGGACGATCCTGGGCACCTCGTAGAACAGAAAGCTCTTGCGGCCTCCACAGCTCGCGTTGAGGCGCGAGAGGTCGTGGCGCGGGCTGCCCGCGCAAGCGACGCACGCGTCCACCGACTCCGAGAACGTGTCAAAGAGGTCCTGCACCAGGTTCTCGTCCACCCACGTCACGTCGCCCCGATCGGTCGCGCCTGGCCAGCGCAACCGGACAACTCGCCTGGTCCTCGCGTCGGTCTCGGCGGTGACATAGGCGACGATCCTGACGGGCAGCCTCGAGAGCGACACCGCGAGGCCGCCGGTGCCGTCGAAGAGCCCCACGGTTAAGACATTGAGAACCTTCAACGCAACTGCCCTCGGGATCCTCGGGTTAGACACGGTCCAGGGGCACCGCGGGTCTACAGGCATGTTGAGCAGCAGAGCGCCCACGCCGAGGTGATCAGCGACCTGACACGCAGATTTGAAGGCCGACGCCGCCTCCCCACGAAGGCTCGTGGACGCGCAGACCCCGCCCCCGAACTCCGAGGCGTCTGAGCCCGCGACCACCCCCTCGACGCGGGCGCGGAGAGAGGTGGCCGCTGTGGGCAGCAACATAAGGCCCAAGAGGAGCTCCTCGACGATCTCGGCATTGCATCGGACCGTCGATCGCGCCGTCGACAGGGGCCGCGCGGGGTTGAGGAGGCCGAAGAGCGGGCGTCTAAACTCAAAAGCCCGCACCAGCTTGCCGAGGGCCGTCATGCACACCTGCCAGGGCACCCGTTCCTGCGACAAAGTCGCGAGGCAAAGGGCAGCGGCACTCAGCGCCTTAGGGCGCGGCGCTGCCAGCCGCCCGCTGGCGCCATCCACGTCGGCCCCCATGCGCTTAACCCGCGTCTCCCGCAGGCGGGCCTTCTCCGCCGCGCAGGCCACGCCAGCGCGCTTGTAGCTCGCCCGAACGCGCTGCTGGCAGTCCGCCTCGGTGCCCACAAGCTGCCGCGACCGCACCTCGTCCACGATCTCGGGCGCGCTTTGTCCTTCCGCCACTCCAGCTCAGGCGGCTGTCCTGCGCCCCTGGGCGGCGGCAGGCGGCGCAGCCTGCGGTGGATGTGCTGGGAGACGGGGGCCGCCGACGTCCACCCCGTGGCAATCGCCGCGGACGCGATGCACACCTGCCGCTCGGGGCGCCCGAAGAGCGCGCCAGGGAGGGGCCTGCCGACCCCATGTAGGGGTGCCCAGCCTGAAGGGCTCCCCAGACGAAGAAGGCCCCGTTCTGGTCGCCACCCGACCACAGCAGCAACTTGCCCTCGGGGACGTGCAAGGACACCCAGTTCGTAGACGCCGCGA